GCAATTATCTGAAGAAATCTTCATTAACAGGCCAGTATTTCAATGACTACAGTCCAGGAACTAACTGCAACAGAATCATGGGTGTAAGAGGCTTTTAAAAAAAATATGGATTTCATGCTGGGTGTGGTGAGGCATACCTGTAATTCTAGTGACTCCAGAGGCTAAGGTTGGAGAATCATAAGTTCAAAGCCAGCCTCAGCAATTAAGCAAAGCCCCAAGCAACTTAGGGAGATCCTGTCTCAAAATGAAAAATTAAAAGGGCTAGGGATATAGCTCAATGATAAAGCGTGCCTGGGTTCAATCCCTAGTACCAAAGGGGGAAAAAAATGTGGATTCCTTCCAGGTATAGTGGATGGATCCAAAGTTTGAGATCAGCCTCAGAAACTTAGTGAGACCCTATCTCAAAATATAAAGGACTGGAGATGCAGCTTGGTGATCAAGCATTACTGGGTTCAATTCCCAGTAATTAAAAAAAAAAAAAGTAGATTGCTGGTGGACTCCACTAAGGATCTACCCAATTGAGTCGAATGTATGAAAGATGATATGTCTTGAGCTCTGTAATGTTTTGAACAACCAATAAAAAAAAAAAAGTGAGGCCTCAGGGAATTTGCATCCTGCATTCTTAATAACTCTACCTCCTTCCAAGTAATTTTAAAAACTAAAGTTTAAGAATCCCTGTAGTGTGGTAAAAGCACCTATCAACCAGAACTATTTGAGGACGACTCTTGGTATAGCTAACAGTTTTCAGGATGAAATAAGCAGCCTCAAAAAGGACTTGCTTTCCCTTTTTGAATACATTTAGAGATGCATAACAGATGTATTGCCTCAAAATCTCCAAATGTTTCCACTCTTTCCCAAAAACTTCCCACCACAACATAGTAAGTACAAAATGTGTGAGTAAGCCAAGTTAAACATTTCATGAACTTAAACTGAAAAATTGGCTTTGCCTGTCTACAAAGTCCCTTAAAATAATAAAAATATAAATATTGTAGTCTTTCTCAACATTCCTTTCTTTCAGTTCCTTCTCAATTTTGCTTTTTAGTCAAAGCTTCATAACTTCTGGAAATTTTATATCACTACATGATAATCCAGATTAACACCCAACCAATCCCATGTAAAAAATTTGCTTTAAAGTCTACTACACAAGTTGTGAAATGTTTCCTCAGATAGTTAAAAAAAAAAAATTCATTCATTCTAGTCTCTTTCTTAAATCAGTGGATTTCAGTGATAGAGTTGGGGAAAAGATTATGGTACTCTTGCTATAGTCTGAATTATAACATTTGAATTCTCACAATAAATACAAAGCACTTAGAATATTACTCTTTAACCCTCATGACAATCCTATAACAACCTTTTATGAAAGGTTGCCTAAGGTCCAAAGAAGGCTAGAATTACACAGCTGGTAAATTAATTCAAATCCAGGCAATCTAACTCCAGAACCAGCATTTTTAACCACTCTACCATCCTATAATTTGAAGATGCCACCTAAAATTAAGGTATCTAAATCCTCAAGTCACAAAAACCTACCTGATAGCTCAAATCAATTGGGAACAACTTTCTAAAAAAAAAAATACAAATTCACCTGCCAAAAGCAGGCCTCCTGAATCTAACTATGTGTAGGTTGTGGATTAGTGAATTTAATTTCTTTAATGTCCTTTCAAGTAATATCCCAGTATATCAAATGCTAGAAACTATTGTTCCAATATGGAACACTTGCAACATTCAAGAAGTAACTCATGGTCTAGAAGGTAAGTCTTAATTCTAGTTAATTGAATCTGGTAATCTACATAGGAGAAACTAAACAAAGATTACTGATGTTTATCATGATTACCCTGAGGTAGAGTTAAATGTTTAGGAAAAATGTTTTCAACATAGAATTTAGAGTCAAAGGGGATAAGTTCTATCTCTGGCAACCCTCTCATTTTAACAGATTAAAAAACATCCTGTATTTTTAAGCATGCTCTTTAACTCAGTTCACATTTGTAATATTTAGCCAGTAAATATTTGAGGTCTACTACTGTGTGTGCAAAAATAAGCCATTCTATTTCAAAGCATGTTTGAAAACAAGATATGAATTTAGCCAGGCATAGTGTCACTTGCCTGTAATCTCAGTTACTTAGGAGCCTGAGGAAGGAGGCTTGCAATTTCAAGGCCAGTCTCAGTACCTTAGCCAGACCCTGTTTCAAATAAAATAAAGGGGCTGGAGATATATCTCAGTGGTAGAGTGCTTACCTAACCTTTTGGGGAAGCCCTGGGTTCAATTCTCAGTATAGCCTACCACCACCAAATAAAAAAGACACAAATTTGCTTGGAGGATCAATAAAAATGGTATAAAGCTGGGTTTTTGTTCGTTTTTTTCCACTGATACTAGGGATTGAATCTAGGCATGCTTTACCGCTGAGCCACACCCCCAGTCCTTTTTCAAAATTTTTATTTTGAGACAGGCTCTCACAAAGTTGTCAAGGCTAATCTCAATCGTTCTGCCTTAGTTTCCGGAAATTGCTGCTATTGCAAGCACGCAACACTGTACCCAGCCTAAAGCTACTTAAATTTTAAGAAAGAGAAATAAAGGGATCCTTGAGGAATAAAGGCTAGACTACAAATTCAAGAGATTTCAAAAAAGTTCTTACTCCTCACTGTTGATCTGGTGAACATGGAAGTAGTAGTACCCATCTAGAATTTCAATTTTGAAATAAAGGACAGGGTCAAGGGTCTGAGGAAAGGTTACTGCTAGGGCTCCCACAACAAAGTCATTATAAACACAGAGAGGTGCCCATGTGAAGCTGAAGCAAGCTCTCAACAGGGACTGAAATAGAGCTCTCTTTATCAGGAAGGAAAGGAAGCAGGAAATGACCACTGAGGCCCTCCAAAATGAGAGCAGTCCCATCCTAAACAAATTCCTGTATCTCCTACATAATTCCTACTCAATGAAGCTCCTATCAATTATGTGTCTTAACTGAATACAATACTTTGTAGTAATGAATTGCCATAAAATGCTCCACCTTTTATTTAAAAGAAACATGAAGCTATTTTAAAAATGTGTTTGTTATAGACAAACACATTTAAAGGAAAATGAAGTGAGAAAAGAAAGAGAAGGGCGGCAGAAAGGATAAATAGGTGGGAGAGAAAAAGAGTCATAAAATTAACAGAGGTGGTAACTGATTGTAATGGGGAAAGAGAATCAAGAGCCAACTTATTATCCCAGTCCACAACTAGCTAACTGAGCTTCTTTAGGTAGTGAGCTTCCTCATCTGAAACTTCAATCAGGAGTAGAAGCTGCACCCAAGAAGAATTCATTCTAGGACACGCCAATCCCAAGAAAAGCCCTCATCAGGAGCTTCAGAGTTGAGAATGACAACTACACACAGGAAGAAAGTTATTTCTGATTATTTTACCTGAAGATGGAGGTTTTGTTCCAAATTACACTCACTAGAGAATAACAAAAGGAATCCATGAATGTTGCCAATTCAACCTTACCTGAGTGGGGTTTATACAGTGTTAGATTTGTAGATTCAGACTAAAAAAACTTCACAGTCCTTGCCTCTAATGTGTTTACAATCCAGTTAAGGTTTTAGCTAAATACTAAAACAAAAATTGTGCCTCTGACTCTGTTCTTTCCCCAGAAAATCATATAAAGGAAGCAATGACTTCTGGAGTCTTGACACTTACATCTCAATTAAGAAAAAATTTTAAAGAAATTAACTTTAGGGTACCCAAGTTTCTGACTTTAAATCCAGTACATAGTATAAATACTATAGTCATTAAATGTCATCAAGCTAAATTAATAAAAGTCCTATTAGACAATTTGAAGGAAAATTTTAATTTGACAAATATTCTGTCTACTGCTAAGATGAAAGCTTCTATCTAATATAATTTCCTTGTTGCTATTCATAAATTATAATGCAGATACAAGTATCTGTTTTCCAACTTAATCCTCACTACCCTGCACTCCACCTTCACCTCAGAGACCATTGTGCAAATCATATCTGTTCTTAATGCTTGGCACAAAGGAAGCACACAGGGCACTCTGGCTGAACTGGTGATCTCCAGGGTCTTTTCCTGGTCTAAAACTGCCTGACACCTGACATCAAAATATGAACACCGAAGGGCACAATGTGTCACAAATACATAAATTTAACTCACATTGAAACATTTTAGAATTGCCTCTACAAACTTTAAATATATTTTTGCAACTACAGAGTTCATTACCATATATTTTGTTCTATAAGTAACGCAATAGTAGGATTTCCCACCCTTGATTTAAGAAACTTTATGTTTTATTTGTAAATTTAAACAAGAAGGGGAAATGAGACAATAAAAGAGGAATAAGAAATATCAATTATGGTCACACAGTAGGGGGAAAAAAAGAGGCTCACTTAGGAGAAGCAGAAAAAAGGGCCTTCCTAGATACAGAACTATAGTAATTTGGTGTAACAGGTTGGTATCTAATTCTAAACACCAAACCAACTGTATTTTAGTAAAGGCCACTGAAACAAAAGACTAAACATTATGAAATACAACCACTTCTACTTTCAAGAATTCCCAAACTACTTGAATGGTCTTAGACTCCACGCAAATAAAGAACTCTGCAAAATGATTTCCCTTCTTTTTCACAACCACAATCTGTAGGCCTATCCTGACCCCCGGCCCATCCAAATCCTTATAGTATAAATATTAAAAAAGAAAGAGAGAAAATGGGGCCCAGGTTATGTTTTTCTGGAAGAGGCAAGCGCAAATAGAGCACTAGCAGGTTGGCCAGACCTGAATACAGAGACCAGGTGTGAATGCATGTACAGCCTCCGGGCGATAGAAAGATTTGCTTTCCACAGAGCTCCAACTTCTCCTACCCGAAACACAAAGCCGACCCAGTTCCTTTTCCCCTAGTGACAAATCAAAGCTAAGTCTCGACGCGCGGGGGCCGCACGGAGGCAGCCATCCAAGCAGCTCTCGGAAGGCTCTGGCCCGGCCCCGCCCCAGGCCCCGCGCAGCCTGCGTTGTACCTGGCGAAGAAGTCGGCGAAGCCACCACTCCGTCGAGCCCGGGCCGAGATCCCTGCGGGGCCCTGCTCTGCCGCGGGCGAGGGCACCGGCGGCCCAACCGATGGCAAGTGGTCGCCGGGGCTCTGGCAGCGGCTCACCTCGAACGTGTTCCGAGAGTTCAAGTGGACGTCAGGGAAGCCGTGGCTCGGCTCCGCGCCCACACCCCCACTAGTCCTCCCGGCCGAGCTGGAAAGGGGCGCGCCCTCCTCGGA